GTAAGATCACCAATTAGAGAATCCATTCACCCCGGTTACCTTATGGTTATTATTAACTTTCGATTCCTCTTCTCATTCTACAAATTCCTCTTTGCCTCCATGTCTCCTTGTGCCCTAGCTTCTCCTTTGCTCTTCTCCCAATATCTCGATCATACCAAATGATCGTACAATTCTCTTTTCCCTTAGTTATCGCAAGGACCCCTAATATCTTCCTCAATTGCCCTCACTTAGCATTATACCATTTACCATCATGCCCTCACTCTTTCTACAAATTACCATATTGTCCTTATTTTCTCTACACTTCTATTATTCTATTATTCTAATTACTTAAATCCAAATAATTCCAATTAATCACTATTAAATATAAATAATTCCAAAATAATTATTTAAATTCTAAACCTTCTTACTAACTCATCCTGCACCACATAACTCATCATCTTAAACACCTTATTCATCCAATCATCACTATTTGCATCACAATTGCATCACGAATACACATCATATACGGTCACAAGGACTCACACAAGACACAAAAACATCATAAATAAGCATCAAAACATCAAAACACCATCTACTTCACATAGACTCATATAATCATACTAAATTAATTAATTAAATAATTAATCTAAAATTCGGGTGTTACACTGGACACTCATGTTTGACGGGACTTCGAATAATTTATAATTATTATTCCATTTAATCATTTTTATCTCAATCAAAATCTGGTTATGATTTCTTATTATTATATTTGAATATTTTAATTAGTTTCATAATTTGTACAACTAACGAAATTATAATTAAAATTATTATTTTTATTACTATTATTTTTTTATTAACTTTACTATTTTTAATTCCAATTAAAACTTATTAAAAAGAAAGCTTGATAAAAAAATGTTGTTTTGTTTTACTAAATAAAGGTGTTATTGAAGAAGTTAGTTTTCTCCACAATCCATTTTAAAACCTAAAACTTGCAAGTCCAAAACACAAGAAACGAGCGGCCCATTTCAGTTTTTTTTATTGTACTGAGAATTATTTATTTTTAATCACAATAGGAGAAAGAAGGTTTATAGGGAAGAATAAACAGAAAAAGGTTACTTTAAGGAGAAGTGGATGAATCGTTGTCAACTGCTCCCGTTTTCGATCTGCTCCGACAAGCCAACAGCCACCGCGACTCCATCGTATTCTCGCGACTTCTGATACCAGCCGCCGATGGATGTATCGCCAAGGTCAGGTTCATATATTTTTATATTTTAATGCTTCATTGAAATATGATGTATGCTGTGTTTTTTAAGAAGAAATTGGAAGAGAGAGATTTGAAGATAAAAGGGAAAAACTGAAGAAGTAAAGCATGCAGAAAAAAGAAGAAATGTGTTTAGTTGAGTTCATGGTGAAGTCTAAAGCTCTTTCTGAGGGTATTTCCTCCAGATCCTGGAGATTGAGGGGGCACATCTTTTCAAAATTCGAATGTTGGGGAAAACAACTGCGAGGCTCGATCAAAAGGAGTTGATTCAAAATGGTTCTATCAAAGCCAAGCATTTTCAAGAATCTATTAATCAGGGGCATAATACAAAATAGTGGGGTCATCCACATTATGATCAAAGTGTTTCCAAGCTCATATTAAAGAGAATCTCCTCCAAGACCCTACCCATAAATTAAAAAAGAAACAGTCCACAGGGAAAAGCTCTCCGCACACTTTCACAACCTCCAGTGGGTCTTTCTTCTACATCAACAGTCTTCAAATTCAAATCGAGTATTAGGGAATCATGCAAGCACAAAACTATACCATCACGTGACAAGCAACATTGTTGCATAACCAAACCTCTACGCTCTAATCATCTACGACCCATCACGAGGGCACCATTCAAAAAAGCATTCAAGTCATAATCATAAAGCATAAGGCATCATAAATCATGCATTAGGGCTCTTCGATTCAAAACCAGGCTATACTTATCATCTCATCCATCTGACGAAATCCGACAACATGGGTCGAGCATACCTCAAAAGGCCCAATTACACATTCGCATTTCAAAATCCAACATCCATTCACACATTATCCAAGTCATTCATCACATACATCAATCAATCATCACATACATCAATCAATCATTACATATCATACATCGCATATGGCATTCCTCGAAACCCACTACGAACAAAGCCGATATCTTAGGGCCCTCCAATAAATTCTTACCTCGGTTATAAACAAATAACCAGCAAAATCAGTTCTCATCTCAATTTTAGTTAACTAAGATATGGATGACTCAAAAAAACTTCTTTTATATTCAAACATATTGTGTCAGTCTTTATGCGACAATGTGTGAATTATTCTACATATTGTGACAGTCTCCATGCAGCGATATGTTATCCCTTTGTGATCTAACTCATTGTCCAGGAAGCAATGTTGCGAAAGTAGCAATTCCACCCATTGTGTCATCCTCTATGCAACAATGTCTGAAATTTTCAAATTAACTTATTGTGTCAGTCTCCATGCAGCAATGTGTTTCTTTCTTAGATCGTTGTATCAGACCCCAGGCAGCAATGTTGTAAATTCGACAATCCACCCGTTGTGTCGGTCTCCATGTGACAATGTGTGAATTTTCTAAATATAACTTATTGTATCAGTCTCCGTGTAGCGATATGTTTTTCCTTTGCGATCTAGCTCATAGTGTCAGACTCCAGGAAGCAATGTTGCGAAATCAACAATTCCACTCATTGCGTCAGTCTCTATGCAACAATGTATGAAATTTTATATATTTAACTTATTGTGTCAGTCTCTATGTAATAATATGTTCTTTCTTCGTGATCTAGCTCATTGTGTCAGACTCCAGGCAGCAATGTTGCAAAATCAGAAATTCCACTCATTGTGTCAGTCTTTATGCGACAATGTGTGAAGTTTTCTATATTTAACTTATTGTGTTAGTCTCCATGCAGCGATATGTTTTTCCTTTGCGATCTAGCTCATTGTGTCAGACTCCAGGAAACAATGTTGTGAAATCAGCAATTCAGCTCATTGTGTCAGTCTCTATGCGAAAATGTGTGAAATTTTCTATATTTAGCTTTTTGTGTCAGTCTCCATACAACAATATGTTCTTTCTTCGTGATCCAACATTGTGTCAGACTCCAGGCAGCAATGTTGCGAAATCAACAATTCCACCTATTATGTCAGTCTTTATGCAACAATGTGTGAAATTTTCTATATTGAATTTATTGTATCAATCTCCACGCATCAGTGTATTCCTTCCTCTACGAAATAGTTCATTGTGTCAGGCTCCATGCAGTAATGTATGGAATCTGCAGTTTAACACATTGTGTCAGTCTCCATGCAATAATGTGTTTCCCTATCTACAATATAATCCATTGCATCAGTCTCCATACAGCGATGTCATTATCAAATTCCTTCCACTATGTTGGTCTCCATGCAATAATGCTTTTACCAGATTTTGTCTACTGCATCAATCTCCATGCCGCAATATTTTTATCAAGCTTTTTTCACAGTATAATCCATTGCGTCAGTCTCCAGGCAGCAATGTCACCATCAGAGTTTCTTCCTCGACATAACTCATTGGATCAGTCTCAATGCAACAATATTTGTTATCAGTTTTTCTTGTGATATAACTCTTTGCATCAGCCTCCATGCAATAATGCATCATCAAACTTTGTTTTATCCATCGCGTAGGTTGCGATGAATAAACAAAATCAAATCAAAATTTGCTATATTAGTCTCCAAGCATTAGTAAGTTAGCTGTTCAAACTTGTATCATTTACCTCCTAGGTTATGGTAAATAAGCAAATTCTACAATCTCTTTTAGATACTGGAGAATCATCTGCATCGTCATGTCTAAAGTAAAACAAAAATTTGGTTCAAATGCCAGTGGGATGATACATCATCATCTGTGCCTTTTTCTTCGCACGCATGGGAGCGCTGCACAACGTATCCTTGTAAGTCTTTCGGGCAAATTTTTGGGGTTTTCCAATATTTAATAAACTTCCGATCAAATGTGGGAGACCTGTGTATTCTTGCACTATTCAATCGAAAGATAATTAAATAGGACAACTGTCATACTCTAAATTTTCCCTACCCTTATTTTATATTTAGAATTCTTTTTAAAATAAATCATATTATATAATTTTTTTGGGGGGTGTAAAGCATCAGAGAGAGGTGTATCGATCCAAAATGGATCATCAATATCTGATGGCCCATTAAATGCTAATAAGGCCCAAAACAGTCTAGCCCATTTTAAAAATTTCTTTTGGAATACTTTATAATTATTATTCCATTTAATCATTTTTATCTCAATCAAAATCTGGTTATGAATTCTTATTATTATATTTGAATATTTTAATTAGTTTCATAATTAGTACAACTAACGAAATTATAATTAAAATTATTATTTTTTATTACTATTTTTTTTATTAACTTTACTATTTTTTATTGCGATTACAACTTATTAAAAAGAAAGCTTGATAAAAAGAAGTGTTGTTTTGTTTTTCTAAATAAAGATGTTATTGAAGAAGTTTTCTCCACAGTCCATTTTCAAACCCAAAACTTGCAAGCCCAAAACACAAAAAACGAGTGGCCCGTTTTGGTTTTTTTATTGTACTGAGATTTATTTATTTTTAATTAAAGAAATGATGCTTTGGTACAGTTAACATAAACGATAAAAAGGCTCCCAAAATTGCATAAATTAAACCAGCCCAGTTCAACTTAAGTTAATAATTGACCCAGAAGCAGATAGCACAAACTATAGCAATTAACTGAGAATTATGTTGCTACAAACAGAAACAAACTTTTCTCATCAATTTGAAATCGAATAGAATCAAGAATGCAGATAAAAATTCTAGATTAATACATAAACCAATCCAAGACAAAATTAAACACAATACTTTTAATTTACAGACAAAGTTCAAAATATTTCCTAAAGCATAAAACCCAATCAAATTCTAAGAACCAAATTACAGATACATTATTATCCTTCCTTTTTTGCTAAAGACCCGAATCACTATAAAACGAAGAAGATAATCACAATGAAGGGGGGGGGGGGGGGGAGGAACCAAAAAAGAAGAATCACAGTAGGAGAAAGAAGGTTTATAGGGAAGAATAAACAGAAAAAGGTTACAGTAAGGAGAAGTGGAGGAATCGTTGCCAACCGCTCCCGTTTCCGATCTGCTCCGACAAGCCAAAAGCCACTGCGATTCTGTCGGATTCTCGCGGCTTCTGATACCAGCCGCCGATGGATGTATCACCAAGGTCATGTACATATATTTTTATATTTTAATATTTCATTGGAATAGGATGTATGCCATGTTTTTTAAGAAGAAATTGGAAGAGAGAGATTTGAAGATAAAAGGGAAAAACTGAAGAAGTAAAGCGTGTAGAAAAAAGAAGAAATGTGTTAGGTATTTGTATTCTACTTTCTCTCTCCATGCGTATGTGTGTGTGTATATATATATATATATATATATATATATATATATATATATATATATATATATATATATATATATATATATATATATATATATATATATATATATATATATATATATATATATATATATATATATTAGTATTTCTCTTCTTGGATATTGTTGTACCCCAAAATTTTCTCTCTTATATTTTCCAAGATTTTCTTTTATATGGGTGATTATAAATACTTGCTTAAAGAAAATAAGAATTTTTAAGATAAACAAGGTGTCTTTAATTGACTTTAAAATAAGGTGTCTTCGATTGGCTTTGAAACAAGGTCTTTTTGATTGGCATTGAAACAAGGTGTCTTCGATTGGCATTGGGATAAGATGTCTTCGATTGGCATTTGAGCAGGTTGTCCTTTGATTGGCATCTGGACAAGGAGCTTTGATCGGATGTCCAAAATCCTTCGACACAAGCTTGGTTCATAAAAACTTTGACTGAGCATGGGTTGTTTCATGCCTGATTCGATTGATAAGGAAATGGCTTTCCCCGTGCGTGCCTTCAGCATACAAGGTCAAGACATCTTCAGATTTTCCTTCAATCAACTAGGCAAAAAGCTTCCTTCGAACCACAAGGCAAATACCTCCTTCATGCCCGATTCTATTCACTAGGGAACGACCTCTTTTATGCTTGCCTTGGCCTCACTCACGTTAGCATCCTCAAGGCACTGGTTTCCTTCGTGCCAGCTTCGACTGGGCAATGGTCCCCTTTGAAACAGTTTCAATTCCACATCTAAACACATAGTTATTCATATTTTGACACCTAGTGAGGCCTATTAGAAGGACACATAAGTGATGCCTTTGAAGGACATGCACTTGGTCTAGTCGAAAGACATACAATGGTTGGAGACAATTTTTGCTTGTTGGCGAAAGTCTTGCATACTGCCAGGCCCAAGCCTCATGCACAAGCATATTCACGCCAAAAGAAGCTTCGACTGGTCAGAATGAGGTTTTTCGATTGGGCTAGTTGGGTAGTGTCAGAGCCAATCGAAGGACAAGGCAACTTAGAATCATGAGGAGCAACTCATAGCCAATCGAAGAGCAAAGATCTGAGGGGATTTTGAAGAAGCCCTTATAAGGGAAACTCTGAACAAATTCGAATTGGAATTCATATTCATCGAAAAGACCAATGCTCTGACGAAGAGAATTCTGAGCAATTCAAATTGATGCAGATGGTGACTTAATTGAAGAAACTCTGAACAATTGGAATTCAGGGTCATCAAATATCTGAGCAATTCAAATTGATGTAGATGGGCTCAGTTGAAGGAGCTATAAGAATGAAACCAGAGCCATTAGAAGGAAGTAACTCAAGGCCAATCAAAGGGCATGTCTTGAAGGTATTCGAAAGAATGAAGTATGTCTAGGTTCATCCCAAAGCTCAAAGAGGCATGAATATTTCAAAAATGGAAGTCTTTTAATGTGTCTGATTTTGCCTTCAAAGCCTAGTTAATGGCTGCCCCTTGCCATTTCCATGCACCCTCTATCTCCTATAAATACACATACATACGCACAAGAAGACTACAAACCTACGCCTACATAATTCCTCATACACACACAGATTGCCTATCAAAAGAATACGCACACGATGCCTCAGAGAATATATCAAAATTCTAACCAGTTTTGCAGGCACCCTCAGTCCAAACGAATACTATATTTGTGCTCCTGAGACTCCCTAGAGTCTACTCCAAGCCAGTCCACACCAAATCGAAGCATCTCATCCTTGGTAAACTTTCAAATTCATATTCATGTTTTCATGATGTATTAATGTTTTCCAGTTTTTGATTTATGCCCAGGGTATCATATATCACAACATTCACATGGAACATACAAAGATAGAGGGCACGATCTGTGATCTTCATCGAATCTCAAGAAACCATGGGTTTTAAGGCAAACAAATCCAGATTCGAACTCAAAGGAGTCGAATTAAGGGGAGGTCAAATTAGGGAAAAGACCTGGGTTCACACCCAGGTCATGCTTTTGTTTTGTTGACACTTTTTCTTGCAGACTTCAGTGCCTTCCTCCATAGGAAATTCATCAGACTCCTCCAATAACATTCTTTGCTGGATCGAAGGCCGCATATCTTCATAGGATCGAAGGCCATCCTTCATAGGATCGAAGGCTATCCTTCACATGGATCTAACACCACATGTCTTCATAGGATCGAAGGCCATCCTTCATTAGGATCGAAGGCCATCATTTTTCTTTGACCGAAGGATTCTTCTTCTTTGATTTATTTTTATTTTTATTTTTATTCACTTATTTTAAATCAAAAATCAAATAAAATCACAAAAAACATTAGGTTAGTATTTTTTCTAATTAAGTTAATTAAATAAATAAATTAATTATTTTAACCTTTTCTTTAAATTAAAATTAAGTAGACTCAGGCTTTATTTTCTTTCATACACAAAAACAACCAAAATATTTTTTTCCTTAGGATTCTTAGACGTTATTTTCAATTCGTGCACATTTATTTTCGCACTTTTCATATTATTGTAACTGTTCATGGGTTGTAATAGAATTAACTAGGATGTTACTTTACTGCTTTCTTTATTTTCCCCTATTTTTTGAACATGTAAATACCCCTCCCCAAAAGCCTTGTAATAGCGTAGGATTTACGATTCCCGCACTTTAAATTTCTGCAAAATATTAACTGTTAGTAACTAGGCTTGTATGGAAAGACTGAAAACAAAGCGCTAGAAAACCTAATAACAAAGATAAATGAACCGAATTGAATAACTTGCACATATACACCTCTTGGGTACTCCCACTTCGGTTGCCTTCGGAAAATAGTCACAACTCTCGAAACGTGAGAGGTTTTAGTGACTATCCTCTGGTTCAAAAAGATCATAAGTCCCTTGATGACCCTCTTAATGTTGCCTCGGTAAAAATATGATCTTAGAACCCTAGGGTAGTTATTAAAGCTTATTGCCCAGTTGCCTTTGTGACTATAAAAACGTCCCTTTGAATGTCCCTCAAACATCCAACGATAGGGCTACCTACTCACTAATAGTAGGATAGAATTGTCTAAAGGATAGGAGCAAGAGAACGAACCTTTTCGAGTATAAGTAGATAGTTCTTAGATGCTTGCTAAAAACAAACTTTTATACTTACATAAAAACAAATTCCAAAAACATTTTCAAATGATTTATCAACACTCTTGAGGACTGATACAAGAGTTATCATAAAGCGAATTGCCGCACTAAGGCATTTTCAAAAATAATTTTCAAAACACACAAAGCACAAGGTATTTTTCAAATGAGCTAAGCACCTAAGAGCCCGTAGATAACTATGGATGGAAAGAGTGCTAACACCTTCCCTTTCCATAATCTACCCCCTTACTCAGAAATAATCTCGAAAGGACTTTTTCTGTTCTTTTCACCCTTTCCTTTGTTGGATAAAATAAAAGTCGGCGGCGACTCTTGCTTATCGCAACATTTGCAAATACAAACACAAAACCAGTATAAACAGTCAATTCTGCCACCGTATCATAGAACTAGAGACTCTGCTGGGGAATGTAAAAAGTGGGGTTACCTTAGAGTTTAGTTCATTATTTTAAATTGCTTTCCTTGTATGCTTTTCTTGCTTTATCTTTGAGGGTTTTGTTTGGATTTACTTGTAAAGATCCTACATCCGAATCTGGGGCACCTTTTAGGTAAGTAACAATAAATCGTGGGGACTGTGCGGGGTATACCGACACGGTTGAAACGACATCTACGTTAATGTGACACATTTGTTGGTATCGGTATCCCTTGAGTAGTCAAGGAGAATATGGGGCCGCTGTGTGGTATCATGAAGCATCAACTGATCTTAGAACCTTTAATTGAACCAACTTGGCCATTAGGAAGTAGTTAGATAGCCAGCTTTGGTGCAGTCCGAAGTTGGTTGATACTCGATACTACACTCATTGAGATCTGACTTCCGGGATATTTCGGTCGCTAATAAAGAGGCTTGCGCTGAAACAATGCTCGGTGAAGAAAGATCAGTGATATTGAGATTCCCTAGAACCCGATTACTATTGATAGGACAGGTTGAGCCAACTAAACTTCAAGAGGGTACTTACCTATGGAATCCATGCAAGCCTAAACCTAAAGATCTGTTTGTGTGATTTTATATATGTGTTTGTACATAACATCATAACATCATAGCATGGCATATCACACTAACCATTTCAAGGACTTTTAGGACTTATCTTTGTGTCTATTTTGTAGGACAGTGCTCCCATTCGCAAAAATATTATCCAAGTTAACCTCGTAAAGGTGCCTCCTCAACTTAAGGAATTGGCATCAAGAGTTCCTGAGAATCCCCTGTTCACTAAAAGACATGGTTGACTCCTCAGTTTGGTCACCTCAAGCCCTGATGAAGACATGGTGAAATTTCTCTTCCAGTTCTTTGACCCTTCACATCCTTGCTTTACATTTCCCGACTACCAGTTGGTACCTACCATGGAAGAGTTTTCTCAGTTATTGGGTGTGCCTATTCTCAACCAATTACCCTTCAATGGTATGGAAAGAGATCCAAAACCTGAAGAAATTACTCAAGTCCTGTATCTACAACGGTTTGATGTTGTGGAAAATTGGGAAATAAGAAGCGGTATCAAAGGGTTTCTAGCCAAGTTCTTATTTGAAAAAGCTCACTATTTCTGGGATACTTTGGACTTACAAGCCTTTGAGGAGGTATTGGCGCTTCTCATCTATGGGATGGTACTGTTCCCTAATCCGGACCAACGGTCAAGGTTTTCATGTCTCATAATCAGGTGCCTACTTTGCTTGGAGACATTCTACAATCTTTTC